AGAAGCATAAGTAATAACTCTACCCTCCTACATCAATACACAACCAATACCCACTCTTGAAGCATCATAATACACGGTATATGAACCTGAAGCTGATGGCAAAACTAACACTGGAGCCGTGGTCAAAGCTTTCTTGAGCTTCTAAAAGCTCTCCTCACACTCGTCCGACCATACAAATGAAGCACCCTTCTGAGTCAACTTGGTCAAGGGCAATGCGATAGATGAGAATTCCTGAACAAACCGGCGATAATAGCTTGCCAAACCAAGAAAGCTGCGAATCTCTATGGCTGAGGACAGTCTAGGCCAACTCTGAACCGCCTCTATCTTCTTCGGATAAACCTGAATACCCTCACTGGACACCACATGCCCTAAGAAAGCCACTAAACTGAGCCAAAACTCACACTTGGAGAATTTTGCATAAAGCTTCTCCTCCCTCAATCTATGCAACTCTCAAATGCTCTGCGTGCTCCTCCTGACTACGCGAATACACCAGAATATCATCCATGAAGACTATGACAAACAAGTCGAGATAAGGCTGGAACACGCTGTTCATCAAATGCATGAATGTTGTTGGGGCATTGGTCAGCCCAAAGGACATCACCAAGAACTCATAATGACCATATCGGGTCCTAAAAGCTGTCTTAAGAATATCCGAGTCCCTGATCTTCAACTGGTGATAACTAGAATGGAGATCAATATTGGAGAACACTCTCGCTCCCTGAAGTTGGTCGAATAAATCATCAATGCGAGGTAAAGGATACTTGTTCTTAATTGTCACTTTGTTCAATTGCCTATAATCGATGCACATCCTCATTGTGCCATACTTCTTCTTCACAAATAGAACTGGTGCGCCCCAAGGCGACACACTAGGTCGAATGAATCCCTTATCAAGGAGTTCCTGAAGCTGCTCCTTTAACTTCTTCAACTCCGCTGGTGCCATACGATACAGCAAAATAGAAATGGGCTGAGTGCCCGACACCAGGTCAATACCAAAATCAATATCCCTGTCTGGTGGCATGCCCGACAGGTCTGCAGGAAACACATCGGGAAAATCCCTCACAATTGGGACAGAATCAATACTAGGAGTCTCTGCACCGACATCCCCCACAAAGGCTAGATACGAAAGACATATCTTCCCAACCATACGCTGGGCCTTTAAGAATGAGATTACTCTACTGGGAACATAATCAGTCAAACCTTGCCACTCGATTTGTGGAACACCCAGTATAGCTAATGTGATTGTCTTGGCATGACAATCCAGAATAGCACGACACAGAGATAGCCAATCCATGCCCAAAATGACATCAAAATCCACTATCCACAATAATAAAATATCCACTCGGGTCTCCAGACCCCCAAAAGTCACCACACACGATCGATATACACGGTCTACAACAACAGTATCGCCCACCGGAGTAGATACATGAACATATGAAATAAGAGACTCGCATGGCGTATCCAAATAACAGGCAAAGTATGATGACACATAAGAAAAGGTGGAACTGGGATCAAATAATATAGAGGCATCTCTGTGGCAGACTGAAACAATACCTAAAATCATGACATCTAAAGCAGCAACATCTGGTCTATCTGGGAGGGCATAGAAACGAGCCTGACCACCACCTGATCGACCTCCCCCTCTAGAGCGACCCCTAGNCATCATGAAAACGAGGACACTGCCTCCTCATATGCCTAAACTCTCCACACTCATAACAACTCCTCAGTGCTGAAGATGGGGACTGAAGGGAACCCCTAGCACCAGAATGACTAGTAGAAGGACCTGGCATAGAAAAACCCTGAATTGATGAAGAACAAGACGAACTCTAGGCTGGAAGGGTACTGAGTGATGAATGGCCCTGATGAGAATTGTGAGAACCATGACCCGATAATGCCCCACGATAACCTGGGCGAGCTGACTGAGCTTGTCTGAAAGGACGGCCTCTGCCCTGCTGGAACTGACCCCTTGAAGGAGCACTACTTGGCCTCCCTCTCCTCTTGCTCCTGGCGGCGAACTGACTCAATCTCACGGGCGATGTCAACAACCTCCTCGAAAGTAGCACCTGCCACCCTCTCCCTAGTCATGAAAATTCGAAGCTGATATGTGAGGCCATCAACAAACCTCCTGATCCTCTCTCGATCTGTGGGAACCAGCCAGACTGCATGACGAGCTAACTTAGAGAACCGCATCTCATACTGCATCATAGTCATCTCTCCCTAATATAATTGCTCGAACTGCTTGCACAACTCCTTTCGGCGAGACTGTGGCACATACTTCTCCAGAAAGAGAATAGAGAACTGCTGCTAGGTAAGGGGCACTGCACCAACATGCCTATGCCTCTCATACGCCTCCCACCAAGTGAAGGTAGCCCTAGAAAACTGAAAGGTAGTGAATGCTACACTGCTGGTCTCTAGAATACCCACTGTACGAAGCATCCGCTAGCACTTATCCAAGAAACCCTGGGCATCCTCGCCCTCTACACCACTGAAAGTCGGAGGCTGAAGTCTGCCAAACCTCTCTCATCGATGCTGCTCGTCGTCCGGCATAACTGGTACCATATACTCCTGAGCTGGTGTAACCGGCTGGGCTGGAGGTGCCCCCGGTGTCTGAAGTCCTTGCACAACCTGCTTAGGTGTGTGAGCAACGGAAGTTTGGGTGCCTCCCCCGGCTTGAGAAGTAGCTGCAGCCGTAGTAACTAAGACCGCCTAAACTAGACCGGTACACACTGATAAAATCTGAGCTAAAACCTCCTGAAGGCTTGGAATCACAATAGGCATAGCTGGTGCCTGAGCTGGTGCTGCTGTAGCGTCCACAACTGGGACCTGATCCTGAATTAGGGCAGCTGGTGGATCTGCAAGTGCTGCCCTAGCTGCTCTTCTCCCACCAGGGCCTCGACCGCATCCTCGGCCTCTAGTGGCCCCAACTGGTGGTACTGGTGGTCGTTCATCCTGCCCGGTAGCACGTGTCCTCACCATCTGTGAGAGAATGCAATAACAGAAGTTTAGTATTCGGACCAACAAATTTGTATGACAAGAATTCCAAGAATGTGAAGTTTTTCCTAAGGTTCTACAGCCTCTTGAGGATAAGTACAAACGTCTCTGTACCGATACACGAGACTCTACTAAACCGACTCATGACTCGCGAGACCTATGTATCCTAGGCTATGATACCAACTTATCATGACCCCAAATACCCGGTCGTGATGGTGCCTATCATATTACTAGGCAAGCCAACCCGAACCATTAACTACAACAAATTCCTTTTATAAAACCACTTTTCTAACATAGGTTTAAAACCTCAATTTTTCATAAGAAGTGCATAAAATAGCCAAAAGGTGCGGAAATCAATACAATATTAAACCAACACAGCCCAAACATCTGTTGTCGCAAGTCTAGAGCCTCTAACATATACAAATATGACTGTCTGATACAAAACAAGTCTAAAATGCGAAAAACAAGGATAGAGGAAGAAAGCAGGGTTGTGGATGCCATGCAACTACCTTGCAGTCTCCAGCAAACTCTTATAATGCTGAGGACCCTCACTCTGCCGCTCGAGCACCTGGATCTGCACACACGGTGCAGGGAGTAACGTGAATATGCTAACTCAGTAAGTAACTAAAGTAAATAAGGTCTGAAAGCAGTGACAAGCAGTTAAAATCATATAAAGGAGTAAACAATAGGATAATAGGTCAAACTCTACAGTTTTAAACCAGATTCGTCATAAAATCTCCAGTTTCATTTGGAATACTTGAAATCATTTACTTAGCAATTCATCAACAGAGGCTTATTTTAAAAAGATAAGTGAAAGAAGTGAAAATATCATAAATGGTCCCTCGGGCAAGATATCACTCAAAATATGGCCTCTCGGGCAGCCTCTCAGTCGCTCGTGACTCAGCTCTCGCTACTCAGTACTCACACTCAGCACTCAGGCTCATTAATATCTCATAATAGTAATAATCATATTAACGCTGCAGCGTGCAGCTCGATCCATAGTTTATAGTCGACTACGCTCACTGGGGGTGTACAGACTCCAGAGGGGCTCCTACANCGGGCACAATAGTAGAAATTAGGGAACTTATTCCAAACAATCCTCACATTTAAGAAGTAGAGTGATAAAACCGATTTTGAACAATAAACAGGTAAAACATGACTGAGGATATGCTTTCAAACAAGTAGATTGAGGAAAAGTAGTAAAAATGCCCCTAAGGGTCTAAACAAGTCAGCACAAGGCCCCAAACATAGCATACAAACCATAATACAGTATAATGACTAAAGTACGGAATATCATAAGGTTTCAAATCAAATACGCTGCTTAATAGTTGCTACGGGATGGACCAAGTCACAATCCCTACCGGTGCACGCCCACGCGCTCGTCACTTAGCATGTGCGTCACCGCATTTATCAAAACAATTCGAATACCAGGGTTTTGTACCCTCAGTTCCAGATTTACAATGGTTACTTACCTCAAACCGGTGGAAATACTACTCCGCAACGCCTTTGCCCCTCGAATCGGCCTCCCCTCACATCGAATCTATCCAAAATCAGAATCACGACATCAAAATATGCTAAGGGAACGAAGCCTAAGCAAAAATAATCAAATTATACCAAAAATCTCGAAATTAGCAAAACCCGACCGCCGGGCCCACATCTCGAAATTTGATAAAAATCACATCAATGGAATCCTTATCCTTCCACGAGTCCATACATACCAAGAACACTGAAATCGTAGTTCAAATGACCCCTCAAATTCCAATTTTAAAGTCTCTTAATCTCAAACCCTAATCCCCAATTTTTCTTCCTTAATCTCCACTAATACCATGATTAAACAATGAAAAAATAATCATAAACCCAAATAATGAAGCTTAGAGAATTTACCTAACTGATTCCCTTCGATCTTCCCTTGAAATCACTACCCTAGCTCGCTTCCCGTCTTAAAAAAAGGAGAACTTAGCAAAATTTCGCGAAGGAAACAATATATACCTTCTGGACCAGGGATTCCGCACCTGCGGCTCAGATACCGCTTCTGTGGTACAACATTTTTGTTCAATGAGCTACTTTTGCAGCTTTCACTTAAAAGTCCAAAATCGCATCTGCGACCAAGTAGCCGCGCCTGCGCCATCGTAGGTGCGTTCAGCCCACCGCATCTGCGGCTCCTACCCTTCTTCTCCTTGACCACTTCTGTAGTCCTTTCCTTGCATCTGCAGATCGCACCTGCGGTCCCTAATCTGCAGGTGTGGAAATACCAGAAGTAGAAAATCTGCAGCTTCACCAAAAATCTCAAACTCTCCGTCAACCATCCAAAGTCACCTTGAGGCCCCGGGGACCTCAACCAAAAGCACCAACATATCCCAAAACCTTATTCAAACTTATACCAATCTTCAAAACACCTCAAAAAACACTAAACCAACCAAAACACATCGGATTCAAGCCTAAGTTTTCCAAAATCTTCTAAATTACGCTTTTGATCAAAAACTCAACCAAACCATGTCCGATTGACCTGAAATTTTACACACACATCCCAAATGACACAATGGAACTATTACAACTCTCGGAATTCCATTCCAACCCCTATATCAAAATCTCACCTATCAATCGAAAATCACCAAAAATTCAATTTCGCCAATTCAAGCCTAAATCTACTCCGGACCTCCAAAACTCATTCCGATCACGCTCCTAAGTCAAAAATCACCCCCGAAGCTAACCGAACCATCGGAACTCACATCCGAGCCCTCTAACACATAACTCAACATCCGGTTGACTTTTCTAACTTAAGCTTCCTCAAAAGAGTCTAAGTGTCTCAAATCTTACATTCCAAACACTGTGTGTACATTCTTTCAACGTCTTTTCTCATTCCAGGCCAAAAGATATTTTCAGCAAGTATGTCTAATGTCTTTGGGACTCCAAAGTGTCCCATAAGTCCTCCACAATGTGCATCAGTGGAATAGTTCAATGTGGATCCACTCAACTTCTCACTATAGTAGGCAATATATTTAGAATCTTGCATCAAAACAACACATATTCCTTTACCAGCAACATCACATTAAATTTCAAAAGATTTAGAAAAATCAGGCAATTGTAACAACGGAGCAGAATATAACTTTTATTTCAACAAGTTAAAAGCATCATCTTGTTCTTTTACCCATTTAAAAATCTTATCCTTTTTAATAACTTCAGTTAAAGGAGAAGCAATGGTGCTAAAGTCTTTCACAAACCTCATATAAAAACTAGCAAGTCCATGAAAACTCCTAACTTCAGTTACACTCTTAGGTTTAGGCCATTCTTTTATTGCTTTGATTTTCTCTTCATCAACTTCAACTCCTTTAGAACTAACTGCAAAACCCAAGAAAATCACACAATCCACATAAAAAGTACACTTTTTAGATTAGCAAATAAAAATTGCTTTCTAAGAACTTCAAAAACTTGTTTTAGGTGTTCTGCTCTTCTAAAGTATTAGAAAAGACCAAGATATCATCGAAGTACACCACAACAAATTTTCCATGAAAATCCTTAAAAACATAATTCATTAATCTCATGAAAGTGCTAGGTGCATTAGTCAAGCCGAAAGGCATAACTAACCACTCATAAAGCCCATATTTGGTTTTAAAACCAGTTTTCCATTCATTTCTAGGATTCATTCGAATATGATGGTAACCACTTTTTAGATCAATTTTAGAAAAGATTTTGGATCCATCCAACATGTCATCAAGACGAGGAATAGGGCGGCAATACTTTACTGTAATCTTTTTGGTTGCTCTACAATCCACGCACATCCTCCAAGTTTCATCCTTTTTTTTGTACCAATAGTATGGGAACATAGCAAGGGCTCATGCTCTCTCTCACAAAGCCTTTCTCAAGCAACTCCTCAACTTGCCTTTGAAGTTCTTTTGTCTCTTCTGGATTACTCCTATAGGCTGGCCTATTTGGGATTTGTGATCCAGGCACAAAATCAATTTGATGCTCAATTTCACGTAAAGGTGGCAATCCATAAGGAATATTTTCTGGAAAGACATCTTCAAAATCCTGCAAAAGAGAAGAAATACTACTTGGCAAAGAAGAAGTTAGCAACTCGGAATTAATCAAAGCTTCTTTGTAAGTAAGTTGTATTATGGCAACCCCTCTTTTCTTGCAGTTAAACACTCGTTGGCTTTTTTTATAGAAACTGTCTTTTTTTCTTTCCTTAACCTCTTTCCTCTCACCAAGACTGTCTATTTTTTCATTCGAACCCTTTTTTATCTGTTCTCTCAAATTGCTGTCCTCTCTCTCTTTCTCTCAGCCATCTCTCCTTTTTTCTAATTCTTGGCCTCCTTTCTTTTCTTTTTCCTCAAGCTCACTTTTTATCCCTCCCCTTGGTTTTCCCATTGTTTCCCTTAATCTCTTTTGATATTCAAACACTTGAGAAGGAGATAAAGGTGCAAGAGTAAACTTCCTGCCATTTAGTTCAACAGAATATCTATTCTTTCTTCCATCATGAAAAACATTCCTGCCATACTGCCAAGGACGACCCAGTAATATATGACAAGCTTGTATAGGTACTATGTCACAAAGAATATCATCCACATATCTACCAACATTAAATGAAATCATGCACTGTTTGTTTACCTTTAGTTCACCACTATCATTTAACCGTTAGAGTCTATAGGGAGTAGGGTGGTTCATGCATGCAAGTCCTAGTTTTTCCACAAAGTATAAACTCACCACATTAGCACAACTACCACTATCAATGATCATAGAGCAAGTCTTTCCCTTTATCCCACACCTAGTATGGAATATATTTTCTCTTTGTTTTTTACTATTGCTTCCCAAATTGATACTCATAGTCCTCCTAACTACCCCAACCATGCCATCATTAGGTAGTTCTACATCATCTTCATCACTCACATCTCCCTCTTCTTCTCCCTCACTTTTTTCACTCTCATATCCTCCATCTTCTTTTAGAATGATATTTCTTCTACTTGGACATTCATGCATCATATGTCCCCTTCCTTTACATTTATGACATTAAATAGAACTAGAAAGTATAAAAGGTTTAGGGTTAAAGGTTTTACCTCCCTCTTTGTTCTCAAATTTACCTTTTCCCTTGTCTTCTTGAGGTCTAAAAGAACTTTTCATCTCATGATTTGGCCATGGCTTCTTGGACATGGTGCTTGTCCGACCTTTCCACGAGCTAGCTTGCTTTCTTTTATTTTGACCTGCTACCTTTACAGACAAATCAACTAATTCATCTATTGTTACATATCGTTGTAATTCTACTACGTCGGCTATTCCTTATTTAAACCATTTAAAAACCTAGCCATTGTAGCCTTTTCTTCCTCCGTACAATTGGCTTGGATCATAGCCATATCCATAGCCTTAAAGTACTCATCAACAGACATGGGCCCTTGCTTCAGTGTTTGAAGACGTTGCTGTAGTTCTCTTTGAAAGTGTGATGGTACGAATCTCTTCCTCATCACCCTCTTCATCTCAGCCCAAGTAGCAACTGGTGCTTGTCCCTCTTGCAATCTGTCCCTAGTAAGCTTTTTCCACCAAATAGTAGCATAGTTAGAAAATTCAACAACGACAAGTTTAACTTTCTTACCCTCAGAATAGTTGTGGAAATCAAATATGGCTTCAACCTTTCTCTCCCAATCAAGGTACAAGTCTGGGTCCCTTGTTCCCTTGAATGATGGCATCTTCATCTTTATACTACTTATATTGTCATCTTCTACTCTACCTCTTTGTCCTCTCCTATCTCTCCCCACCCTATCAAAATCATCTATAAGGTTTTATTGATTTAAAATGGGAGCATGGGGTACCTTTCTCCTAGATTGGGGCCTAACATAATTTTCCCTCCTAAGTTCAGCTATTGTATCATTTTGATTAGCAATGGGATCCCTCATTTCTTGGAGTTGCAAATTCAACCTTTCAAATTGTTGATGCATAGCTTGCAAGGTAAAATCATTTCTTGCTTTTATTTTGGCTTCTTGGAGAACCCTTTGTTCATCATCACTACTTGTACGCGACATCTTTAAAAAAAATAAACTGTATCACACAAATTAGCTTCTGTTTTTCTCTCGGAATAACCTTTGAACAAAATACTTTGTAGATTTATAGTTAAACCCAACTTGTATGAAGTTCTTAGTAGTAAAATTAAGATTTTTTTTGGGAACAAAAAAAAAAAGGAACCAAATCCTAGAACTTTTAGGCTCGGTTGAAACAAGACACAAACAAAAAGAAAAGGATAAATATGTAGATTAGAAAGTGTAAGAAAATCGAGGATGCCCTTTTTTGTTTCCTTTGTTTTTGGAGAGCAAACAATTCTATATCTTTTTTTTATAAACTGATATTTTTTTGTTAATTTTTTTTGTTTGCTCTTAGTATTTAAGAAATCCCAAGACTTATCAAGAACGAAATCTTGATAGAAACCTCTCTGATACCACTTGATAACAACTAGGTCGGGAATCCAAATTAGAGTAAGAATTTGAGAAGTAAATGTGGAAGCAATAACAACAAGGAATTGAACAACTAGAATTAAAGAGATGAAAATAAAGGATATAGGAAAAATTCAAGGAAAGAATTCCAAGAACGCAAGTTTTATAGCCTTGACAAGATCAAAGTAACAACGTCTTGATTTATGGAAGAAATCAGACGCCTTTACTTAAAAAAGCAAATCAAAACAATAGGTTTGGATCTTGACCGCTTTACGAGTAACCTGAGACAACAATTGATAACTAGTATTAATATCCTTCTAAGAATACCACAAAGGAATCAAAGATATCATAAAAGAGAAGCAATCTTACTACCTTGAACTATGAACTAGTAAAGGTTGAAAGATAAATCTCAAAGCACAAGTAACCAAAGTTCAAAAGAACTCTCAAAGTATGATATACTTAATCAATAATGTAGTGTCTTATGAATGAGAAGAACTCCCTATTTATAGGAGTACTAAGGCATAAAAGTCCTTAAAATTAGGTAGGGTGGCTGCTAAAGCATACAAAGTCATTACAATTAGGTAGGGTGGTTGCTAAAGAGTAAGAAAAGTCATTAATATTTAAGTGGGGGCGGCCAAGACCCTTTGGAGCAGATTTAGGCCTTAAAACAACTAGTTTGGGCCATTGGTTTGGACTCCAATTGGGCTCCTTTTGTAACACCTCCTTTTGGACCTATTTTAAGCTCATTTTGAGCCCATTTGGTGGACTTCAAGGTCTAATTTGGGTGACCCAATCTTCCTTCTCTTGGACTTCAATTTGAGAAACCAAATAATTGTAAAACTTAGACAATTCTTCTTATTTGGGCTTGAGCTCTTCCTCTATAGTTAGAAGCTTCTTTATTTGCCATAGAAGTCCAGCAACCTTAGGCTGCAATTCTTTAGCTTGAGATCTTGTAAATGGCCTTATTGGAGTTTCCAAAACTCTATCCTTATCAGTGATGCTATCACTAAGGACTCCTTTCCTATACCAAATATCGATCACATGATCGATGCCACTACTGGTCACGAGATCCTCACTTTTCTCGATGCCTAATTCGGGTACTACCAAAAAAAATGAGCCCGGAGGATTAGGAAAAGACTTCGTTTATCACTAAGTACGTTACTTATTACTATAATGTAAGCCAGGCTAAAAAAGGCTGGTGCTGCTTATCAACGACTAGTAAATCGATTGTTCGAAGAACAAATAGGTAAATCAATGAAGGTTTATATTGATGACATGCTAGTTAAGTCCTTGCGTGCAGAGAACCATTTGACACATTTGCAGGAAACCTTCAACATATTGAGAAAATACAACATGAAGCTCAACCCCTAGAAATGTGCATTCGGGGTCGGTTGAGGCAAGTTCCTCGGCTTTATGGTGTCAAATCGGAGAATCGAGATCAACCTCGATAAAATTAAGGCAATCGAAGACATCACAGTCGTGGACAGCATTAAGGCCGTACAAAGATTAACAGGGCGGATAACCACTTTAGGCCTATTCATCTTGAGGTCTTTGGATCGAAGTCACAGGTTCTTCTCACTTCTCAAAAAGAAGAACAATTTCACTTGGACCCCGGAATTCCAACAGGAATTGGAAGAATTAAAGCGGTATCTTTCGAGCCACCGTTGCTTCATACTCTGAAAACGAATGAGCAACTCTACTTATATTTGGAAGTCTAGGAGGTCGGGTAAGTGGTGTCCTGGTTCATAAGAGCAAGGTACGCAATTTCCTATTTACTACGTTAGCCGAACTTTAGGTGAAGCTGAGACCCGGTACCCAGACATAGAAAAATTAGCGCTTGCTCTAATAAGTGCCTCTAGGAAATTAAAACTGTATTCTCAATGTCACCCAATTTGTGTTGTAACCGCTTACCCCCTTCACAACATTTGGCACAAGCGCAAACTCTCGGGCCGACTAGCCAAATGGGCCGTCGACATCAGTGGGTACGATATCGAGTGTCAACCCTGAACGGCCATCAAGTCTCAAATCTTAGGAGACTTCGTGGACGACCTCATGCCAGTTCTCATACTCGAGGTCGAAAAGGAACTATTGCTAAAATTAGGTACATCCTCGGGGGTGTGGACCCTTTTCGTAGATGGTGCTTAAAATGTGAAGGGATCCGGGCTAGGCATCGTTTTGAATCCACCCACATGCAATACAATTAGACAATCTATCGAAACCCCTAAGTTGACTAACAATGAGGCCGAGTATGAGGCCATGATTGGAGGTCTCGAGCTGGCTAAAATTTTGGGAGCAGAGGTCATCGAGGCCAAATGTGATTCCGTACTCGTGGTTAACCAAGTCAACAAAATCTTCAAGGTTTGAGAAGATCTAATGCAGAGGTACTTGGACAAATTTCAGGTAACCCTACACCGGTTCAAAGAATGGACCCTACAACATGTACCCCGAGAGCAGAACAGCGAGGACGATGCCCTTACAAATTTGGGGTCATCAGTCGAAGATGACAAAATTAGCTCAGGGATTGTCGTACAACTTTCAAAGTTGGTAGTCGAAGAAGGCCATGCCGAAATAAACTCCACAACCCTAACTTAGGATTGGAGGAATAAATATATCAATTATCTGAAGAATGGGAAACTCCCGTTGGACCCTAAGGAATTGAGGACTCTGCGAACGAAAGCTACACGATTCACATTGGCCGAAGATGGAACATTGTACAGAAGGATGTTCGATGGGCCGTTGGCAATATGTTTAGGTCCAGGAGACACCGACTACGTCCTATGAGAAATTTACGCGGGTACTTGCGGGAACCATTCCGGTGCAGAATCATTGGTTCACAAAGTCATCAAAGTAGGGTATTATTGGGACAGTATGGAAAAATATACTCAGGAGTTCATTCGAAAATGTGACAAATGCCAAAAACACGCACCGATGAACCACTGGCCTGGGGAGCATCTTCATTCAGTCTTATCCCCATGGTCGTTCATGAAATGGGGAATAGATATCATCAGCCCTTTGGAACCAGCCCCAGGAAAAGCTAAGTTCATTTTATTTATGACTGACTATTTCTCTAAGTGGGTTGAAGCACAGGCTTTCGAGAAAGTCAGAGAGAAAGAAGTTATAGACTTCATCTGGGATCACATCATATGCTGATTCGGGATACCTATCGAGATAGTATGCGACAATGGAAAATAATTTATCGGCAATAAAATAACGAAGTTCCCCGAGGATCACAAAATAAATAGGATATTATCGATGCCGTATAATCCTAGTAAGAACGGACAAGCTGAATCGACAAACAAGACCATCATTCAGAACCTAAAGAAAAGGTTGAATGATGCTAAGGGGAAATAGGGAGAAATTTTGCCCGAAGTCCTCTGGGCATATCGGACAATAACAAAATCCAGTATGGGGGCAATGCCGTTCTCCTTAGTATATGGCGTCGAAGCTCTAATCCCGGTTGAAGTTGGGGAACCAAGCATCACGTTTTGATACACAACGAAAGAGTCAAATCATGAGGCTATGAACACAAGCCTCGAATATCTTGATGAAAAATAGGAAGCCGCCATCGTTTGAATGGCCGACCAGAAACACCGAATCGAAAGATATTACAATCGAAGAGCCAATCTTCGACACTTCAAAATAGTGAACTTAGTTAGGAGACAAGTCACCACCAACACTCGAGACCCGAGCGAGGGAAAGCTCGGTCCAAATTGGGAGGGACCCTATTAGGTCCTCGACATCATCGGAAAAGGGTCTTACAAACTTGGCACGAGGAACAGTGAACAATTGCCAAATAATTGGAATATACCACTCCTCAAACGATATTATTGCTAAGGTATGGTTTTCTCCTTTTCCATTTGTATTTGATAATAACTTATTGCAGGTGTTCGATCGAAGATTTCGAGAAATTCTTCAACACAAAGACCTCAGGTTCTAAAGCACACGTTGCTCTCTTTTTCCCTTAGATCGGTTTTTGTCACAAATGGGTTTTTTCGGCGAGGTTTTAACAAGGCCACATTGTGCTACCTGAGGACGATTCAACAGTATCTGAGGCTTCTTTATAATCAACCTCGATTACTAGGGGCATCACCCTTGTGTGTAACCACTCTCGAATGTTATGTTCTCAAGGAAAATACTCCATATCAGCAAGTCTCGATAGATAACATTTTGTAAAGGGCCAAACTGTCAAATGAACCGTGTTTTTGTAGATTGTTCGATCCCCGATGGAAAAATATGTACACATGAAAGATTTATTGAAAGAAGTAGTT